TTTTATTCATAGGCATCGTTTTAATTTTATGAAACTATTACTCAAAATGCTGGTCATTCAATGATACGTCGTAAATCTGGACGTCTTGATTGGAGAAAAGTTGGATAACCTTTTAATATACAACCATGGGCCTGTCAGAACGGTTGTTTCTGTCGTGAATATTCTGGCAATGGGTTGCACCACAATGTTTTAAGCGTTCAAATATTTACGCTTTTGTGGCGCATTAGTTGCATTTTATGCTATATATCTTTACACATACACACATTACCCATCAAGGTGTGTTTCAACTCGCGTGGCAACCATCTGCTGACGGCGTCTGCCGATCGGACCTCTCGACTTTGGGATGTAGAGACGGGCCAGTTGCTGGACGTTTTAATGGGGCACACGGACGAAATATTTAGCTGTGCCTTCAATTACGAGGGCGACTGTATTATAACTGGATCAAAAGACAACACATGTCGCATATGGAGATGAATCTGTTGTTTGCGAATATGACATCTCTTCACCAGAAACATGCATATGAATGTGCCGGTAATAACGATTTTTCATACCCATCTATCAATAATGTGTACATAAATCCTCATCAAAATGTTTGCATAAATCGCCATGCATCTCAGGTTATGGTAACAATCAATTTGCAATCATCTTTACTCTTTGGTGGTATTCCTATTTTTGTTTTAAGATGGTTAATTTTTGCACATCTCAACGTCCGAACCGTTATAAGCAATTTTCGTTTTTATCGTTCAAGCATTTTATCTCATGAAAGTGTCCTTCCCACAGACTACTGGCTCCACTTCTCCCTTGATTTACACCGAAAAATGGGTGCTAATGAAATTTGCCGAAGGGTATTTTTTATAGCCGACTTTTTTGACAGTTTTATTGTTCATCTACTCGACTGAAATTATATTGTAACACTGTCACATTACAATAAAGAACTATTCAAAAAAGTGTAAAATTGTACTTTATATATGCGCTTACTAATGAGTAGCGTGATAACAACTTTAAAACCAGTACAACCTAAACGGAAAAAACTTTGAATAAACTATAAAGATAATCGACATAGCCTAGATTATTTTTTCCCATTAAATTTTCGAAAAATCTACGATAAAAATGATGTAAATGCAATATTCAAGTTTACCATGTACCCTGTTGACCAGTTCTGAGGTTAAATTTGTGAACATTTGAATGAAAGTGTATCATCATTTTCGGCTGAGCACAAGAAGTCTGTGCAATTTTGTTGAATGGACAACGTCGTGAAATAGGCGTCCTTAAGCTCTCTGTTACTATTCGTGGCATCGAGAGTTCCGTTATTCGAATTCTGCTCACTCTCTAAAGAGTTCTACACTTCACCTACTCCGACTCGTGTTTTTTGGCGAGCCGGTTTTCCGGCGTCAACGGACAGAACAACAAAATTGCACTCTGCGTCAGTCTTCAAGTGGATCCGTTCTGTTGTCGCAAGGCTGGACGTCGTTAATTATTCAGTCGGGCAAATGAGCACTGCCCAGTGTCTTGTTGAGGACAGCCGAGGAGACGGATGGGATGAATACTTGATTGACAACGGTACAATGCACTGCCCAAACTGCATGGGGCCGGATCAGGAATGCTTTGAGGAGTGGAGAAATGACGACAAGATACAAAGATTTAACCCTCATCACCGTTCCCTAGTCCATATTGCAGCTTCAATAATGCAGGATACACGACACTTTGGTCGCGGAGACCTGACCAAATGTCCTACATTGTGTGCATACTAGCTGGGCCATTTGCGTGTATGTGTGTATGTGGGAGATTTTGTCTTTTGCGGTTTTTCCTATTTCTGGCCGAGAGGGCTACAGCAATTTTGGCAGACTTCGTAAGGGACTTACATGCTGGCATGTAGGTCAGAGTTTTGATATAATTGTGAGAAAATGCAAATATTAGTACTTTATTATCTTATGCAGCATTATTCAGGATCTATTGATAGTCGCATTTGAGTAGAGTTTCGAGACTACTAGTAAATCAGTAGTATAAATGTATTCACCCAATTTCGTTTAAGATGACGAAGGACTGATAGTAGAATTTTCTCACAATCAGATGCGTAGAGCTGACATTTCCATTCAATTTCACACAGCCTTCCTTTCCCAAAATTTGTTCTTCATCATTGGGAAAGCAAAGCAATGTGAAATTTAATGGATGTGTCAGCTCTAATCACATTATTGTGGGAAAATTCGACTACCAGTCCTTCATCACCTTAAACGAAATTGGGTGAATACCTCTTTATTCATAGTCCCAAAACTAACAAGTGTGAATACAGAGTTTGTATGTTTTCCGTCACGACACGTACTATCTGGTCCTAATAGGCTGGGGCCATCTCTGGGATTGGGCTCATCTCGGCGTCATCATCGCCCCAAAGATGATTTTACTCCATGACGAGCTGGTCCGGAAGCACACAGTTCACGAAACAGAGATTTGAGAAGATGTTGTGCCGGTCAACCTTTTACTTGTTGCACTTCGATGTGGACATTATACCATAATACTCTTTTGATGTTGTATTTCACCTGATTCTTACTAACTCTTTACTAGGATTGGATAATTCCTGATGTACACATCAACTAGCAATCTATGGAGCACCAAATTGCCACTTTTAAGCCTTTTATCTGAATATCGAATACCTTCTCGATCGCATAAAGTAGAAAATTTATGACAAGTCATCAAGCGAGAGCCAAAGAGGAAGATTCATTAACTTATTTAACATCAAAACCCCATCTTCAAAGGATCCAATCTCCCCGACCACAGATAATCTTGATAATCACAGTATAGTTGATGACGCTAAAGGTAGGTGGCGATTAATAAGGGTTCGAATGGTGTGAAATTCGATTTAGTACAAGTTGTATTTTGACAACAGGCTGCATGTAATTGAGCTAACGTCCAAGTATCAATTTTGCTTTGACCACCTTTCGGCAAATTGATCGGAGATACAGTCAGACCTTGTTGAACGCTTCCAATTTTATGTCCATATGTCCGAGTGGTCATGACAGTTTCCATCCGCAGACCGTTTATAAATTTAAGTGATTATTTAAAAGTAATATTTTCACCAGCCTGCACAACAATTGTAGTTCAGCTTATGGAAAATGGAATATTAACAACATTTAAAAGAAACTACTTACGAACAGCTTTTGTTCACACAACAGAGGACGATTCGTTCTATACCGTATTGCTTCGCTTATGATGGGCCTCCGGTTTGTAATATCTTTCGATTGATGATTATATGATATCCTGTTTCAGCATAAATCTAGGCAGCATCTGTTATATTCGTAATAAATAAGATATGAAATTAGTACTAATTTTTTAATAAAAACTTAGTCTGCATGAGTTGTTTTACATTTGTTAAGTAATGATAATGTAGTATTTGGTAAACTCATTTAATTAGGCCATTTGGTACCATTACGCTGCACTTAACCTTGTCTCCCAAAAAGTTGTCTTCTTGATTGTCTCACAAGGAATACAAGTTATGTAAAATGTAATGTAATCTTTAGGCCTGCCTCCATCATTATTCATTAACCCATCTTACTCTTCCAAGATCGACTAAGCCCATTTTTTCGGGAATAACCGATGCTATCGAAGCCAAAACACTACGAATGGGAGAA